TTGGAAATACGTGTTCGTGACGCTCCACTCTGAAGTTGATATTTCAGATAGCTCTTCTGAGTTGTTACTATTACGAATTAATTTTCTGGTCCTAAATGACATAGTCATTTCATCCATTGGTTGAATAATTAGAGATTTATTATTGTCTTCTATCGAGTTCTGCCATCTTTTACTAATCTTCTTAGCTTTGTCATAAATCTCTAAACGGACGTTGACCTGTATATAATAATATATATGTTAATTAGCTTCACAAAAATCCTTGACTATAAATGTGTAGTTTTATAAATGACTTGCAATTTTTATTTGCATAGTTAGCCCGCTGATGATCAGAAATTCCTAATAATCTTCAAACATCTTTAAGTATAAAATCAAACTTATGTCAGGAGTAAACTGAATAATTCAAATATTATTTGTAGAAGAATAAAGAATTTAACTGGGACACAGAAGAACATGCATGCAACACAAACATCGACCACTATCCAATATGGAGTCATATTTTTATATCACGAAATATTTTCACCAACCTTTCTACCCACATATATCGCCTCACGTTAAAGCTAACCTTTAAATAATCTCATTTGTTCGTATAAATTAATTTGTATGAATCTAACGTGGAAGATCCTGTATTTGTGTATGTGTCACTTGGATATTGGAAACACTCTATTGAGCCATATTCATAATTGTAATGATCAAGTGGACAAGAAACGCAGTTTGTTTTTCTCCTTTAAAATGTTCTGGTGGGCATGGATCTAAATGTAGATACTGTTAACTTTGAGAACTAAAAATTAAATACAGGATGAAGTATGTAATTACTACTTCACTGCTTAGTTTATCCAAAGCAGTTTCTCCTTTTGTGATTTATTACTATTCACATATATAAACGCTTCGAAGCAAACAGCAAAGTACAACTTACAACAAATGTTTGATCTCAGCATAAACCCATCAGGGCATTGATTGTCTTTCGTAGGTTGTACATATGCTAAAATATAGTACAAAAATAGTTAATAGTTCAAGAATTGTTAACATAAGAAATACTATTTTGCACTGATATGACCTTGATATTATTTTACAAAAGTTCTGTAAATTTGGAAAATAATCTTTATTAAATAGAATAAGAGCAAGATAAGCCATCAGCTAAATTTGTTAGATTTTGTTTCTACCTAACAAGATTTTCCGATTTATGAGCTTTCTTGCAGAAAGGTAATTAATTATTCGTTATGAGCCCAAAATATATTTATTGTATCATAAGTCACCATAGCTTTCAACTCAATCTATTTTCATAATTAACACCGCTAAAATCAGGGGTTCTATTCCTCTCGGTGGACACAGCTTTCTTATAAAAAAACACACACACACATTTTCATAATTAAAAAATAAACAATGCCTGGAAGGAAGAAAATAAATTGAAACGTGAGTAAAAATATAATCCAAAAAATTACAAATATTTGAAATTATTTACGAAATTGGGTGTTTATTCTGTTTTATGGAATAGCGAGTAAACAATACGTGGTGTTGTATTTATTCTCGAATTTTATGTTCTTGATTAATACGTCACGTGTTTAATATTAACTACTGATCAATGCGAGGTACCTACCCAGATCAGTATCAAAGATATACTCAATAATAAAGATAAAATAAGCTGTTCAAACTTTCTTATTTATAATGATTAGAATGCATGTTTTCAGCAGTTAGATGTGAAAAGTAGCTAAACAATGTCGCAAAATACTCGAACTGGCCGTGTGGCTTTAACAAAAGAAACATTTTTTGTCATAACACTGTAGCATTTGCTAATTTCAGTATTTACACAGACGATTCCAGGAACACTCAGCACTTTTGATTTAAGTAAATTAAATTATTTGTTCTATGACTTATAAAAAACAAAACAAACAAGAACAAAAAACCTTCTTATGATTTCTAACATAAAGCTATCTGACTCCACGGAATACCTAATTTTATTAATTGCTATTGATTAAATTTCTCAATATATATATATATGTGTGTGTGTGTGAGTGTGTGTGTCTAGTTATTGCATAAAATAATAATTTAATATCTCTTTCATGGTGATAAATTTGTATCTGCAGACAGGTTTGTAAGCGAAAAGCTATACAATGCGTCATCTGTACTGTGACCTCCGCGGTTATCGAAATCCAATTTTCAGCGTTATAATTCCTCAGGCTTAGCGCGGAAACACTGGCGCTGAGCTGTACGTAGATGAAGAGATGATTTCATGGATTTTGAACAAGTCGTATGCAATCATCAATCATATATCAAACTTACAATACTTTGCATAAATAGTAATAAAACTGGATAAAACCCAATTCATAATTTGACGTTTTTTAAAGTTCTAAACACTACCAAGTATTTACCTTCCAAGAAATGATTAGCAGTAACTGCTTTTTTTTCTCTTACACCAGTATTGTTGTCCAGTATTCAAGAGCACACTCATAGACACCGGTGTCATAAGTCTGAAATTCAGAGACATTTAATTCACCAATGACTTCGTTTACTAGGATTATACCAACAGCAGTTTCTATTACACCGTATGGACCTGTCCAGGTGTAGCTGATAACATCATGAATTACTATTGATACTAAGAATACACATGTACATCATAAGAACTAGAAATAAATCATGGATAAATAGGCATATCATGTCATTTACTTAGGAAACATGAAATTAATTTCTATGGCCAAAGGTAGACTTTGTGTATTTGGACTTTTAGAAAGTATTTGACAAGGTGCCACATAAAAGGCGTGTAAAAATATCTCTATAGGTGTGGAGGATAAATTAGTAAATTTGACAGAAGAATGGCTTTACGAAAAAAAAAACAGCGGGTTGTTATAAACAGAGTTCAGTGAAACTGGATTAATGTCACAAGTTGGGTACCTCAGGGCACAGTCTTATGACCTTTGCTCTTTTTGATTTACATTAACACATAGGGATCTTGGTGTAATGGTTTATTGATCTCTTTAAGCCATCCGAGCAATGTGTTGTTGCTAATGGTAGGACAAATAGGATTTTAGGTTGTATCGACAGAAATACTGAATACAAGTCTAAAACGGTTATAATATAATTGTATAGGTCACTAGTCAGATCACATTTGGAGTATTGTTTTCATTCTTGGGTGCCTTACCTCAGGTAAGATATTGAATTGTTGGAAAGGATTACTAGAATGGTGCCTGGGATATAGATGTTGTCATACAAAGAGAGGCTGAAATCTCTCAACTTATTTTCTCTTGAAAAGAGAAGAGTTAGGGGGGATCTGATTGAGGTGTTTAAGATTGTAAAGGGAATTGATAGTGTTGATGCATCATCTTTTTTATATTTAACAGTAAAGATAGTAGGACTATGGGGACACAAATATATATTGTTACGACAGCGGAATTTACGTGACGCTGGTAACACGTAATGAGTATCTAGAAGGTTCGGGGAACATCACGAAT